TGTATGTGATGATGTATGTGGTAATGATGTATGTAATGTTGTATGTGATGATGTATGTGGTAATGATGTATGTAATGATGTATGTGATGATGTATGTGATAATGATGTATGTAATGATGTATGTGATGATGTATGTGATGATGTATGTAATGATGTATGTGGTAATGATGTATGTGATGATGATGTATGTGGTAATGATGTATGTGATGATGATGTATGTGGTAATGATGTATGTGATGATGTATGTGATGATGATGTATGTGGTAATGATGTATGTGATGATGTATGTAATGATGTATGTGGTAATGATGTATGTGATGATGTATGTGGTAATGATGTATGTAATGATGTATGTAATGATGTATGTGGTAATGATGTATGTGGTAATGATGTATGTGATGATGTATGTAATGATGTATGTGGTAATGATGTATGTGATGATGTATGTGGTAATGATGTATGTAATGATGTATGTGATGATGATGTATGTGATGATGATGTATGTGGTAATGATGTATGTGATGATGTATGTGGTAATGATGTATGTGATGATGATGTATGTGGTAATGATGTATGTGGTAATGATCTATGTGATGATGTATGTGATGATGATGTATGTGATGATGATGTATGTGGTAATGATGTATGTGGTAATGATGTATGTGATGATGATGTATGTGGTAATGATGTATGTGATGATGATGTATGTGGTAATGATGTATGTAATGATGTATGTGGTAATGATGTATGTGATGATGATGTATGTGATGATGTATGTGATGATGTATGTAATGATGTATGTGGTAATGATGTATGTAATGATGTATGTGATGATGATGTATGTGGTAATGATGTATGTGATGATGTATGTGGTAATGATGTATGTAATGATGTATGTGGTAATGATGTATGTGATGATGTATGTGATGATGTATGTAATGATGTATGTGGTAATGATGTATGTAATGATGTATGTGATGATGATGTATGTGGTAATGATGTATGTGATGATGTATGTGGTAATGATGTATGTAATGATGTATGTGGTAATGATGTATGTAATGATGTATGTGATGATGATGTATGTGGTAATGATGTATGTGATGATGTATGTGGTAATGATGTATGTGATGATGTATGTGATGATGTATGTGATGATGTATGTGATGATGTATGTGATGATGTATGTGGTAATGATGTATGTGGTAATGATGTATGTGATGATGATGTATGTGATGATGTATGTAATGATGTATGTAATGATGTATGTGGTAATGATGTATGTGATGATGTATGTGGTAATGATGTATGTGATGATGATGTATGTGGTAATGATGTATGTAATGATGTATGTGATGATGTATGTAATGATGTATGTGGTAATGATGTATGTAATGATGTATGTGATGATGATGTATGTGGTAATGATGTATGTGATGATGTATGTGGTAATGATGTATGTAATGATGTATGTGGTAATGATGTATGTGATGATGATGTATGTGGTAATGATGTATGTGATGATGATGTATGTGGTAATGATGTATGTAATGATGTATGTGATGATATATGTGGTGATGTATGTAATGATGTATGTGGTAATGATGTATGTGATGATGATGTATGTGGTAATGATGTATGTAATGATGTATGTAATGATGTATGTAATGATGTATGTGGTAATGATGTATGTGATGATGTATGTGGTGATGTATGTAATGATGTATGTGGTAATGATGTATGTGATGATGTATGTGGTAATGATGTATGTAATGATGTATGTGGTAATGATGTATGTGATGATGATGTATGTGGTAATGATGTATGTGATGATGATGTATGTGGTAATGATGTATGTAATGATGTATGTGATGATATATGTGGTGATGTATGTAATGATGTATGTGGTAATGATGTATGTGATGATGATGTATGTGGTAATGATGTATGTAATGATGTATGTAATGATGTATGTGATGATGTATGTGATGATGTATGTGATGATGTATGTGGTAATGATGTATGTGGTAATGATGTATGTGATGATGATGTATGTGGTAATGATGTATGTGATGATGATGTATGTGGTAATGATGTATGTGATGATGATGTATGTGGTAATGATGTATGTGATGATGATGTATGTGGTAATGATGTATGTGGTAATGATGTATGTGATGATGATGTATGTGGTAATGATGTATGTGATGATGTATGTAATGATGTATGTGGTAATGATGTATGTGATGATGTATGTAATGATGTATGTGGTAATGATGTATGTGATGATGTATGTAATGATGTATGTGGTAATGATGTATGTGGTAATGATGTATGTGATGATGATGTATGTGGTAATGATGTATGTGATGATGATGTATGTGGTAATGATGTATGTGATGATGATGTATGTGGTAATGATGTATGTGATAATGATGTATGTGGTAATGATGTATGTGGTAATGATGTATGTGATGATGATGTATGTAATGATGTATGTGGTAATGATGTATGTGATGATGATGTATGTGGTAATGATGTATGTGATGATGTATGTGGTAATGATGTATGTGATGATGTATGTGGTAATGATGTATGTGATGATGTATGTGATGATGTATGTGATGATGTATGTGATGATGTATGTGATGATGATGTATGTGGTAATGATGTATGTGGTAATGATGTATGTGATGATGTATGTGGTAATGATGTATGTGATGATGTATGTGATGATGTATGTGATGATGTATGTGATGATGTATGTGATGATGTATGTGATGATGTATGTGATGATGATGTATGTGATGATGTATGTGGTGATATATGTAATGATGTATGTGGTAATGATGTATGTGATGATGTATGTGATGATGTATGTGGTAATGATGCATGTAATGATGTATGTGATGATGTATGTGATGATGTATGTGATGATGTATGTGATGATGTATTTGATGATGTATGTGGTAATGATGCATGTAATGATGTATGTGATGATGTATGTGATGATGTATGTGATGATGTATGTGATGATGTATGTGATGATGTATGTGATGATGTATGTGATGATGTATGTGGTAATGATGTATGTGGTAATGATGTATGTGGTAATGATGTATGTGATGATGTATGTGATGATGTATGTGATGATGTATGTGATGATGTATGTGATGATGTATGTGATGATGATGTATGTGATGATGTATGTGGTGATGTATGTAATGATGTATGTGATGATGTATGTGATGATGTATGTGATGATGTATGTAGTAATGATGCATGTAATGATGTATGTGATGATGATGTATGTGGTAATGATGTATGTGATGATGTATGTGGTAATGATGTATGTAATGATGTATGTGGTAATGATGTATGTGATAATGATGTATGTGGTAATGATGTATGTAATGATGTATGTGGTAATGATGTATGTGGTAATGATGTATGTGATGATGTATGTGGTAATGATGTATGTAATGATGTATGTAATGATGTATGTAATGATGTATGTGATGATGATGTATGTGGTAATGATGTATGTAATGATGTATGTGGTAATGATGTATGTAATGATGTATGTGGTAATGATGTATGTAATGATGTATGTGGTAATGATGTATGTAATGATGTATGTGGTAATGATGTATGTGGTAATGATGTATGTGATGATGTATGTGGTAATGATGTATGTAATGATGTATGTAATGATGTATGTAATGATGTATGTGATGATGATGTATGTGGTAATGATGTATGTAATGATGTATGTGGTAATGATGTATGTAATGATGTATGTGGTAATGATGTAAGTAATGATGTATGTGATAATGATGTATGTGGTAATGATGTATGTGATGATGTATGTGGTAATGATGTATGTGATGATGATGTATGTGATGATGTATGTGATGATGTATGTGATGATGATGTATGTGGTAATGATGTATGTGATGATGTATGTGGTAATGATGTATGTGATGATGATGTATGTGATGATGATGTATGTGGTAATGATGTATGTGATGATGTATGTGGTAATGATGTATGTGATGATGATGTATGTGATGATGATGTATGTGGTAATGATGTATGTGATGATGTATGTGGTAATGTTGTATGTGATGATGTATGTGGTAATGATGTATGTGGTGATGATGTATGTGATGATGATGTATGTGGTAATGATGTATGTGATGATGTATGTGGTAATGATGTATGTGGTAATGATGTATGTGATGATGTATGTGATGATGATGTATGTGGTAATGATGTATGTGATGATGTATGTGGTAATGATGTATGTGGTAATCACGTATGTGATGATGTATGTGATGATGTATGTGGTAATGATGTATGTGATGATGATGTATGTGATGATGTATGTGATGATGTATGTGATGATGATGTATGTGGTAATGATGTATGTGATGATGTATGTGGTAATGATGTATGTGATGATGATGTATGTGATGATGATGTATGTGGTAATGATGTATGTGATGATGTATGTGGTAATGATGTATGTGATGATGATGTATGTGATGATGATGTATGTGGTAATGATGTATGTGATGATGTATGTGGTAATGATGTATGTGATGATGTATGTGGTAATGATGTATGTGATGATGATGTATGTGATGATGATGTATGTGGTAATGATGTATGTGATGATGTATGTGGTAATGATGTATGTGGTAATGATGTATGTGATGATGTATGTGATGATGATGTATGTGGTAATGATGTATGTGATGATGTATGTGGTAATGATGTATGTGGTAATCACGTATGTGATGATGTATGTGATGATGTATGTGATGATGATGTATGTGGTAATCACGTATGTGATGATGTATGTGATCATGATATATGTGATGCATGTGATGATGATATATGTGGTGATGTATGTGGTGATGATGTATGTGATGATGATGTGTGTCATGCTGTATGAAAGCTGCAACTGTATCATCTCCAACCTTTAACTGTTTCAGCGCTGATGACCGGCTCCAGGAACAAAGAGACGCCCTGGTGGTGGTGTCTGAAAGTGGAGAACTGTTGTGGATGCCTCAAGCAATTCTGCGGAGTTCCTGCTTATTTGACACTTTGTATTTCCCGTTTGACTCCCAAGAATGCAGCCTTAAGTTCGGTTCGTGGACGTATAACGGCGCAAAACTGAACATAGACTTCGTGGCCAACCACGACATGGACGTGAGTGACTTCGTACCCAGCAACGAGTGGGACATCGTGGAGAACAAGGCAGTTCGCAATGTGAAGTATTACGCCTGCTGCCCCGAACCCTACCCTGACCTCACATTCAGCCTCAAGCTTAAACGCAAGGTAGCGTTCTACACGTTCATCCTGGTCCTACCCTGTGCCCTGCTGTCCCTCCTGACTCTCGTCATCTTCTGGGTGCCGCCTGAATCGCCGGCAAAGCTGCAGCTGGGTAGGTCATCTTGAACCTATTGATTATCTGGAAAGGTCAACTTGTGCTGAACAGGGGTGTTCAGTTGGCTATGTCATCTCGTGTGTGGAGTATTCAGTTGTCTATGTCAATTAATTGTGAATTAAGTGTTCAGTTGGCTACACTATCTCATTGTGTGTGGAGTGTTCAGATGGCTGTGTTATTTCATTGTGTGTGGAGTGTTATGTTGGCTATGTCATGTCATTGTGTGTTGAGTGTTATGTTGGCTATGTTATATCATTGTGTATGGAGCCTCCAGTTAGCTATGTCATTTCATTGTGTGTTGAGTGTTATGTTGGCTATGTCATCTCATGGTGTATGGAACCTCCAGTTGGCTATGTCATTTCACTGTGTGTTGAGTGTTCAGATGGCTATGTTATATCATTGTGTATGGAGCCTCCAGTTAGCTCTGTCATTTCAGTGTGTATGAAGTTCTCATTTGGCTATGCCATTTCATTGTGTAAAAAGTGTTCAGTTGGCTATCTCGAGAATGACTAACGTGACCACAAACTATGATTCTGAAAGACTTAGGTAACCACAAGCCATGGTTCTGAAAGACTAACGTGACTACATGCTATGATTCTGAAACACTAATGTGACTACAAGCCATGGTTCAGAAAGACTAATGTGACCACAAGCCATGTTTAAGTAAGACAAATGTGACCACAGGCCATGGTTCTGAAAGACTAACGTGACTACAAGCCATGGTTCAGAAAAACTAATGTGACCACAAGAAATGGTTCTGAAAGACTAACGTGACTACAAGCCATGGTTCAGAAAGACTAACTTGACTACAAGCCATGGTTCTGAAAGACTAATGTGACTACAAGCCATGGTTCTGAGAGACTAATGTGACCAAAAGCCATGATTCTGAAAGACTAACGTGACTACAAGCCATGGTTCAGAAAGACTAATGTGACCACAGGCCCTGGTTCAGAAAGACTAATGTGACCACAAGCCATGGTTCTGAAAGACTAATGTGACTACAACCATGGTTCTGAGAGACTAATGTGACCACAAGCCATGGTTCTGAAATACTAATGTGACCACAAGCTATGATTCTGAAATACTAACGTCACCACAAGCCATGGTACTGAAAGAATAATGTGACTACAAGCTATGATTCTGAGAGACTAATGTGACCACAAGCCGTAGTTTTGAAAGACTAATGTGACTACAAGCCATGGTTCTGAATGACTAACATGACCACAAGCCATGATTCTGAAAGGCTAACGTGACCACAAGCCAGGGTTCTGAAAGACTAACGTGACTACAAGCCATGGTTCTGAGAGACTAATGTAACCACAAGCCATGGTTCTGAAAGACTAACGTGACTACAAGCCATGGTTCTGAGAGACTAATCTAACCACAAGCCATGGTTCTGAAAGACTAATGTGACTACAAGCCATGGTTCTGAAAGACTAATGTGACTACAAATTATGATTCTGAAAGACTGACGTACTGCAAGCTATGATTCTGAAAGACTAACGTGACCACAAATTATGATCCTGAAAGACTAACGTACTGCAAGCTATGATTCTGAAAGACTAATGTGACTACAAATTATGATTCTGAAAGACTAACGTACTGCAAGCTATGATTCTGAAAGACTAACGTGACTGCAAGAGGTGGTCCTGTAAGACAAACGTGACTACAAGCCATAGTCCAAAATAAAAGCGACAAAATCCTTTCCATATTCATAAGAAATCTCTGCCAAGAATACAGTCCATTGTACGATTCCGAATATAACATGAGCATGTGTTTATGAATCACTAACAAATAATGATTATACCAGGTGTTAACAAAAAGTGTGGCACCCGTAACAAACACATGCAAAGTCAAGTCAATTGTTCACTTAAAAAAACACGTGAACCTATGGTCAAAACATAAGTCAAAATAGGGAATTGCATCCAACATCATTTTTGCCACATCAAATTTGGAAATGTCCTTCACGTGTCTCCATAAAACCTTTTGAAAGATTTACTTAGGCCTTGAATGTTGTCACTTTGATCAAACAAGTTCTGAGCAAGAGTCGTATGACGCTCTTTGAAATATTGTTAGAAAGAGCCTACACGGTTGCACCTCAAAAGTTGTGAAATGTAAACACCAGGGGCTGGAGCTGCAGGAATATTGCTCGACATAAAGAGAAAGCTGACTATTGGGAAATTGAAAACCATGTGGCGTTTTTAATGAGCAGATCTAGACCTTTTCCTATCATCAAACACAATACCCAGTGCGAGACTACAGTGATAATTGTACCTGTCTGTGTTCACCAGCGAACACAATGCGTCATGCTAGGTTTCACGATGCACATACACTCACATATAGATTTGTGATGTTAAGAAGGGCTATTTACTGGATGCTTGGTCATTACAAGGAAGTGCCCGCTACAGATACAAGCAGGAAGAAATAATGTCATGCATTACAGAGACGTTACTCTGTTTTCTATATTCAACGCAATTATGTCCAAAAGACAACAATATATTATCTGTGTGCTAGTGTTCTGATACATTACACAAAGTTTAGGAAACCATAGAATCGGTTCCAAGAAGGCTATCTAAGTGTATAGTATAGTTCCATTTTGTAGTCGGTGATACAAATGTAGAGCCTTGAAGATCCGGGTTAGACTTGATCTTCAGCAACCTTATGCTTGTCGTAAGAGGCGACTAACGGGATCGGCGTGGATCGATGCTCATGATATCAACCACTGGATTGTCTGGTCCATACTCGATTATTTACAGACCGGCATCATATAGCTGGAATATTGCTGAGTGCGGCGTTAAACAAACAAACAAACAATGCAAGGTGTGTGTATCGTCAGTCGATTTGCATTAGATTATCAATACATTGAAACACCCATTTGTCACGAAGGCCCTTGATGTTTCAATGGGTAAATTGCCATCTAGTTTTTATGGAAATGAGACACTTTGTGTTCGTAATAATCATGAATATTTGACAGTGGAATGAACGGTTGGTCGATGTGCATAACACCCATATTCTATTTCCATTATTTGTCATCCTATTGTTTAGCAAATGAAAGTTACTGTCAAACTTGTACTCAATCTGGAAATAATCCATATCGTGCTTCAAGTCTTTATGTGTGTGTGCTTTGTTGTTCGTGAGTATTGTGCAGGCTACTAAAAAGGAAATGACAGCTATTGTTTCAGTGACATTTGTAATATGAACTAGACGTAAAAGGTCTACTTTCCAAAGTGGGTTTATGAAATTAAGGCATAAGAGAAACTCCTACTCATGGGCTCAAATCCCTATCCAAACACAAAGGGTGCAATAACCCATATTTAATAGTCAATAACGCAGGAATATGGGAAAACTGGGGATTTGTATCTCTTCAGATGAACCGAGTTCCACAGTATACACAGGACGAGTAGGAGTTTTATTCCATGGTTAATATTCCTATATTTGAGGCGGTGGGTGGGTGCAGGCGGTGGTGTTTGTGTGGTGCGGGGTGGTTTTTCAAGATCACAAAGCCATTAAGCTATCTATCGTGATACCTAATATGTTGTTAAATTCGACTCACACATATATAATGGCTCTTACGGGGTACGGCTGTTCTGTATATTTTTCACAAGGATAGGACACTATATTTATTGAAAAGCAATTGAAATGAAATTTGATTTGCGTATATTTGTAGTGAACAATCAATTAATCAACACATGTATTACATATAACATAACTTACTCAAAAATAGATTTGATCTATGACTATATCTAATAAATAAAATATTTGCAATACAGAGCTATCAAAAAGTTTTATATGTTGAGGAATAATTAGTGTACGTTTATTTCGTACCATGCTAAGTTTAGAATATGTGACCGCCTTATTAGAGATAGATTGATATTAATCTAGAAAAATATTCAAATGACAGGATGATCTGTCTGAAGATAAATAACTCCTTACAATAAATGTCCATACCATAACCACACAAACAAAATATCTTGCTGCATACTACCATATTTAATTAAATATATTTAATGAATTCATTCTGCAACGTTGCTAAATCCACCTACTCCGTTCCGACTAGGAACCCGATCTACATTGAATGCCTATAATAAGAATTACACCGTACGCAGATAATGATATTATTCGATTACATAGACGACTTTGTTAGACATAATAATTTCTGTTTTCAGGTATGAGTATTTTTGTAGCCTTCTTCTTCCTGCTGTTGGTCTTAGCAGAGTCCACCCCACGTGCAGCTGCATCAATACCACTCATAGGTAAGTGTCCACCTCACGTGCAGCTGCATCAATACCACTCATAGGTACGTGTCAACACCACGTGCAGCTGCATCAATACCACTCATAGGTACGTGTCCACCCCACGTGCAACTGCATCAATACCACTCATAGGTAAGTGTCCACCTCACGTGCAGCTGCATCAATACCACTCATAGGTACGTGTCAACACCACGTGCAGCTGCATCAATACCACTCATAGGTACGTGTCCACCTCACGTGCAACTGCATCAATACCACTCATAGGTAAGTGTCCACCTCACGTGCAGCTGCATCAATACCACTCATAGGTAAGTGTCAACACCACGTGCAGCTGCATCAATACCACTCATAGGTAAGTGTCCACCCCACGTGCAGCTGCATCAATACCTCTGATAGGTAAGTGTCCACCCCACGTGCAGCTGCATCAATACCACTCATAGGTAAGTGTTCAACCCACGTGCAGCTGCATCAATACCACTCATAGGTAAGTAAGTGTCTTTCTGTGTTTAGTTATTTGAGTGGGTGGCGGTTGGCGGTATGATTTGTGGAGACAGGATATATTTTCGCTCACGGCTTCAAGTCATATATCTTTCATCTTAAGAGAGGAGGCAAACAAATTTTTGTGACATATTTTTTGTGAAGGGCTGCATAGTTCTTTATAATCAGTTTCACTAAGTCTGATGTGTTTATGTTTCAGGCGCCTATTTTTGTCTGAGCATGGTGTTGATCACGGTGTCGACAGTCCTCGCCTGTATCGTGGCTAACATGTTCTTCAGGGGAGTCCGCATCAATCGAGCTCCCAAGTGGCTTAGATCTGTGAGTGTAGTCCACCGTCTCCACTAGTTAATGTGATCACTGCGCTGTCTGTCTGTCCGTGTCAGTATTGCAGGTCTAGTCATATTGTAACACTTCGGATGTATAGCCACGGCTCTGGTGTTGAAGACGGAATTATCTGAATAACAACGCCCTGTGCTGTTGCATGCGTTACTGCAGAGACATATGCACCTGTAATTCGGTACTTCTTAATAGAACGAACTTGGTTGCTGCTGAGGTAGCTGACAAATGTATGACTGATCGCAAAAGCGCGGCCCTGAATAATGGCACGTGTGATAAGTTTAAATATTTATTTTGAAACCTGACAACATCTGTTCAAGGACCATCTTAATATTTACAAACACAATCGAGAAAAATATATATATTTGAAAAATAAAACTGAATATATATCGCTAACATTTTTTAAGGTTGGCAGTTGTCAGTGAGTAACACCCAATTTAAAAAAAAAATCCCTATAACTGATTTTATAACGGAACATGTCATTTGCTAATGCTTGCAAAAATCAAATATGTTGCTGCCTGTTATTATTTTTATGTTGACAGTTGTCATTATATTGAATATTCATTTTGCAATTACATATATGTTATGAATATATTCATTTTGAACGCCCACAGCATATATTTCATGAATGGTTTATTTTATAAACGGGATATGTTTTAAGAAAGAAAATACAAATACTTAATCTATCCAACACATGCATTGATCAGCCGCCATTTGCTTGTGGTAATCAATTATATTTTTTCATATTACAAACTTGGTAATAAAAATTACTACGTAATAGAATCTTACACAATAGAAAAATAATCCTGACTATGCACTAGTGTCTAGTGAGACAAAGCTATTGTTGAGCATCTCTTAGTAATTCCTTCATCTCTACTGAAATGGTGCTCCAGCGACGGCTTTCAATAGGCAACATATTTACAAATTACATTGTTTTGTTATATATCAATTTATTAATTGCGCTTTTCTGGTAATTAGTCCTTATTGTTATTAATAACGTGTGCACACGGTACTGAACGTTAAACGTTGCATCACGGGACCAGCTTTTAATTTCCATTCACGTAAGTAACAACTACTCTTCTGTCATCCATGACAACTTGAATAATTACCGAGAAATATTTACGAGTTGAACTCAGTAATATACCTTTAGACGACCTGATGAATTGCGTGGGAGATTGACTGTTGCCTTAATGCCGCCATCAGCAATATTCCAGCTATATGACGACTGTTTGTTTAGGGTTGGCAATTGTCATTGGGTAATACCAATTTTTTAAAAAGCATATTTTTCCTATCACTGATTTTATAACAGCCCTTGTCAGTTGGTACTGATTACCAAAAACTAATAGTTTACTGCCTATCATTATCCGTATGTTGACAGTTGTCATTATATTAAATATTCATTTTCCAATTACATATATATTATAATTTATACTTGTATTCATTTTGAACACCCGAAGCATATATTTCATAAAAGATTGATGTTATAAACGGGATACAATGTACTAGTATACATTATGAAAGAAAACCAACGAACAAATACTTAATCCATCCAACACATGCATTGATCAGCCGCCATTTGCTTGTAATAATCAATTATAGTTTTTCATATTACAAACTTGGAAATAGAAATTACTACGTGATAGAATCATACACAATAGAAAAATAATCCTGACTATGCACTAGTGTCTAGTGAGGCAAAGCTATTGTTGAGCATCTCTTAGTGGTTCCTTCATCTATACTGAAACGGCGATTCGACGACGGCTTTCAATAGGCAACATATTGACAAATTACATTGTTTTGTTACACATCAATTCATAAATTGCGCCTTTCTGGAAATTAGTCCTTATTGTTATTATTAATAACGTGTGCACACAGTACTTCGTTAGCCGTTGTACCACGGGACCAGCTTTTTATTTCCATTCACGTGAGTAACAATAACTGTTCTATCATCCATGACAATTTGAATAATTAATCCGAGAAATATTTACGAGTTGAACTCAGTAATCCTACTTAAGATCCTGATAAATTGCGTGAGAGACTGTTTGTTGCTTTAATGCCGCCATCAGCAATATTCCAGCTATATTGTTTCTTTAGGGTTGGCAATTGTCATTGGGTAATACCATTTTTTTTAAAAAGCAAATTTTTCCTACCACTGACTTTATCACGGCATGAGCAGTTTTCCGTATCGTCTGTCACTGAGCTGTGCTCCAATGATCAGGGGTGTCATAAAATAAGAATAAAGTGATACAGAATACGTGGTAATAGGTTCACAGGTTTATTAAATAACTACTATTTATACTAATGATTGATAATTACAAGTACATCCACCCTGCGCTCAAACAGATCGCAAATTAATTCTATCAAATTCTATTCAAATATACATCTAAGCTTTAGCCAAACAACTGTGACAAGATATGGACTCTGTGCGTCGACTGCCAATAATAACACCGACCGGCTGCGACCAATTAACACCGGAGTCAATTAACTCCAGATTCTAATGAGTGGATTACCTCGGCTCAGAAAACAAAGGGGAAATAAACACCGAGTGCTTATCACTTAAGAATGAGTCAAATAGTCCACAAAACTAGACGATTACGTCTGCAACGTTTCTAAATACGGGGAAAACATAAATTGCAAACTAACTACTATATCTACACTGGAGATGTACGTATTAAAATAAAGCGCTAAACATAAGCTATCTAACAGTATCATTTAAGATTCACAACAAGCAATGTATAATTATTGACGAGGCAAAAATGACCATAAATACAAGAGAAATATCTGACTGTAGATATACATTCCCCTCAGGTTTGCAAATCATAAATACAAAAACGTTGTCAATACTAGAATATGGTAGCGAACATATGAGAGACAACTTATATCCAGTCATTACATGGTTTGAGAGTGTCATTAGATTACAAGAGAGACACCTAGTTGGGCCACTAATTCGCTAACACCAACATGATCTGAGCCTGTAAGATAGCGACCGCCGGAGATTACCGAGCTGTGCCGGAAATACAGTCGGGGAGCATAGCGGCACATTCGTGACCAACTCGTGTTATTCCGGGACAAGCCGAATAGCGACTCGTGCCCCTTTCATGGCCATTTTGTGCGACCGGGTTCCGTCTTAGCGCAAACGGGCATACCTAAAACAATTGTCAACTCGTTGCGTAATGGTTCACATATATTTCCCCATATATTATATATATTTCAGATGGAATTTAAAGCACATCGGGACGTGCGGAATTATACAGTGTGATTGAACACACTTAACTGTGTCTTGGGTATATTTTTAGACGCAGGACATATGTAAAATCAAAAATTATTTCTGAGGGATTCTTTGATGAAGAACTTGAAATCATACGCGCATTCTGATTGGTTTGCCGTATTTTCGCACATAACATTCATCGATAGGGGGACGAGTCATCTTGCAGGTTACGGAAAGGGGCGAGTGGTGACGAATGCATAGCGGCAGTGAACCGTGACATGAGAAAAAGTTGTCCTCGGTGACATCGTCGGATCACCTAACATGCAGCAGCCAAGGTCACCCTTTGTAACCATTCAAGTCTCATTTGTATCGGTTCTCACGACACACATGGCGAATTGGAAACAACGAAACAACCTCAACATAGAATTAGTATTTTGAAAAGGTAATTGAAATTTTGACACACAAGGCGTTGTCAATGACTTGCAATGGCAGACAGTCGACGCCGATGGATAGAGTGATGTTGTAATGTGATTTACATTGACAGACAGTCGACGCTGTCAGATAAAATGACGCTGTAGTGTTTTCGAAGCTGACAGATAAAATGACGTTGTAGTGTAGTAGAAGCTGACAGATACAATGACGTTGTAGTGTAGTCGAAGCTGACAGATAAAAGGACGTTGTAGTGTGACTTGCAATGGCAGACAGTCGACGCTGGGAGATAAAATGACGTTGTAGTGTAGTCGAAGCTGACAGATGAAATGACGTTGTAGTGTGACTTGCAATGGCAGACAGTCGACGCTGGCTGAAAAAAATGACGCTGTAGTGTAGTGGAAGCTGACGGATACAATGACGTTGTAATGTAGTAGAAGCTGACAGATACAATGACGCTGTTGTGTAGTAGAAGCTGACAGATACAATGACGTTGTAGTGTAGTCGAAGCTGACGGATACAATGACGTTGTAATGTAGTAGAAGCTGATAGATACAATGACGCTGTTGTGTAGTAGAAGCTGACAGATACAATGACGCTGTAGTGTAGTAGAATCTGACAGATACAATGACGTTGTAGTGTAGTCGAAGCTGACAGATACAATGACGCTGTAGTGTAGTAGAAGCTGACAGATACAATGACGCTGTAGTGTAGTAGAACGCTGTAGTGTAGTAGCAGCTGACAGATACAATGACGCTGTAGTTTAGTAGAAGCTGACAGATTCACTGACGCTGTAGTGTAGTAGAACGCTGTAGTGTAGTAGCAGCTGACAGATACAATGTCGCAGTAGTGTAGTAGAAGCTGACAGATACAATGACGTTGTAAAGTGACTTGTAATGGCAGACAGTCGAAGCTGACAGATACAATGACGCTGTAGTGTAGCAGAAGCTGACAGATACAATGACGCTGTAGTGTAGTAGAACGCTGTAGTGTAGTAGCAGCTGAAAGATACAATGACGCTGTAGTGTAGTAGAAGCTGACAGATACAATGACGCTGTTGTTTAGTAGAAGCTGACAGATACAATGACGCTGTAGTGAAGTTGAAGCTGACAGATACAATGACGCTGTAGTGTAGCAGAAGCTGACAGATACAATGACGCTGTAGTGTAGTAGAACGCTGTAGTGTAGTAGCAGCTGAAAGATACAATGACGCTGTAGTGTAGTAGAAGCTGACAGATACAATGACGCTGTAGTGTAGTAGAAGCTGACAGATACAATGACGCTGTAGTGTAGTAGAACGCTGTAGTGTAGTAGAAGATGCCAGATACAATGACGCTGTAGTGTAGTAGAACGCTGTAGTGTAGTAGAAGCTGACAGATACAATGACGCTGTAGTGTAGTAGAAGCTGACAGATACAATGACGCTGTAGTGGGGCTTGCAGTGACAGACAGTCGACGTTAACAGTTACAGTAAAATGACATTACATGACCTGCAGGTCAGACAGTCGACGTGGGCAGGCACAGTCAGATAACATGGTTTGCAGTGGCAGTTCAAGCACGTGTAGGGCAGATACAGTTAGTAGACAACATCAGAAGTAGTCAATATTTAATCAGTTTCCCTGACTAAGAGTGAAAGCGAGAGACTGGCGACTACAGATGCAGGCCACATCTTTCCCCGACACCTCCCCATGCCGCCGGTCCTGTGGGGTGTTCGCTCATACCGACAAATAGCGCCAAATAGCTGACAAATACGCCACCTCTAACATTTACAAGAAAAGATCATTTCTCTTAAACGGATATGAATATTGCAAGACCGTTAGAGGTGTTCCACAACGTCTGCCTGGCAGTTATAGCCTGTAATATGGGGCCATTAGTCGACTCTGGTCTCAAACTGATTGCGGAGAGGGAATAACGTAGCAGGGATCCACGTGGCTGTAACAAAAGTCATGCATGACATAGGATTTGCCCCCGAAACATCTGTGAAACACTTATCAAATATTCATTCTAAGATATATAGAAACCATTAAGACAGTACCTTACAGAACTAGGTGCCCAGAAAGAAATATTACGGACAAATTCAGCTATAATAAATTAATTTATTTGAAGAGTGTTTCGCACACCGACAAATTTCTCTTTTCAAGAGAAACAAACACAGCATCGCATATTCAATTTACTCGTCTTATGGGTATTCTGTTGAGCCATGTCTATATCGCTTAATTTATTGTTTTCTGGAAAATATCTACGCTTTCGCAGTTTTGAGGTATATGTGTATTTGTGTGTTTTTTTAGGATGGATTTGTGTATTTGTGTTTGTGGTGTATTTGTGTGTTATGTTATTATGATATATTTGTGTGTTATGTTTTTATGGTATATTTGTGTGCTTTTTATGATGGATTTGTGTATTTGTGTTTGTGGTGTATTTGTGTGCTATGTTGTTATGATATATTTGTGTGTTATGTTATTATGATGTATTTGTGTGTTATGTTATTAAGATGTCATTGTGTATTATAGTCTATATGTTATAATGGGATATTTGTGTATAATGTTATTATTGTGTGCTTATGTGTGTTTTCACTATGGTGTATTTGTGTATTATGCTCTCATGGTCTCATGGTGTATTTGTGTGTTATGTCATTATGTGTATTTGTGTGTTATGTTATTATGGTGTATTTGTGTGTGTTCAGTTATTATGGTGTATTTGTGTGTTATGATAGTATGATGTATTTTTGTGTTATGCTATTATGATGTACTTATGTGTTATGTCATTACGGTGTACTTGTGTATTGTTTTATAATAGTGTATTTGTGTTATGTTATAATGGGTACACGTGTATGGTGTTATTATGGTACATTTGTGTATTGTATGTTCATGGTGTACTTGTGTTTTGTTTTATAATGGTGTATTTGTGTTATGTTATAATGGGTACACGTGTATGGTGTTATTATGGTACATTTGTGTATTGTATGTTCATGGTGTACTTGTGTATTGTTTTATAATGGTGTATTTGTGTTTTGTTATAATGGGTACACGTGTATGGTGTTATTATGGTACATTTGTGTATTGTATGTTCATGGTGTACATGTGTATGTTTTATTATGGTGTACTTGTGTGTTTCAGTGCACTATCAGGGGCATCGCCACGCTTCTGTGTTTGCGGGATAAGATCTTGGAACCGGAAGAACTTATAGAAACAAAGAAGACATCATCTAAATCCTACTCGGACACAAAGACCAAGTACCCCGAAGCTGACTTTAAGTTCTCCAAGGTGCGACTGCTGGACAACGGTATAGACTACCGGGTCACCCCGCAAACAGAGGGGTCCGATTTGGATGCTTTTCTAGATCGAGGTGGATTCCGTTCAGGCGCCATTTTGGAGGAAGTGCGAGGCATCCGGGACATTCTGGAGAAGAACGAGGAGAAGAAACGTGTTCGTGATGAAAGGGAGCGCTACATCCGAGAGTGGCGTGTCATAGCGTGTGTGACAGATCGTTTCTTCTTCCTCCTCTACGTTATCATCAACATCGTCGGCATCACCGTCATCTTCAAGGGACAGTGACACTCCTCTGCACTAAGGACGGCAATATCCTCAGTTGTGTCTTATCCTCGTCTGTCTGTGCGCAGCAGAACCATTCAGCCTTGGACTCTATCTCAAACCACGCTTATCCTAAACTAAAGGACACGACACCTTTATCACAGAAGTCTCGTAAACTTTGACTGTGCAATATTCATGGCACTATAAACATTAACATTGCCATGTACGGCGATACAAAATTGAAATGTATTCCCTTGTGTTGCATACAAATGTCATGTTATAGAAAATGAGGAGTATTTGAAGCTGATTGTCGTGTATAACAAATACTCGAAGAACGTTACGAGTGCTCATTATTGTACACATTAAAGATGGAATAGGGCTGCTGTTGTATGTAAGTGGCGGACTGTATGAGATGGATACAGCGAGGTAACTGGCACACGCTTTTGGTAGTCAAATTGGACCAGTTGATACACACACTGTAACACAATTAATGATATTATACACTGTATATATGTGTGTATTCAATAAGGCTGCAATGCAGTGCGCGTGTCTGATAGTGGTGTGTGTGTGTGTGTGTGTGTGTGTGTGAGAGAGAGAGAGAGAGAGAGAGAGAGAGAGAGAGAGAGAGAGAGAGAGAGAGAGAATGTGGTGTGGGTGGATGTTAGTGTGTTTGTGTGTGAGTAAAAGAGAGTAGGATAGAGACAATGAGTCTCAATCTATGTGTGTGTTAGACTTCACGTGTACATTGTGTGTTAGCCTACATCACGTCAATGTGTGTAAACGTACATGATATTCATTGTGACCTAGCTTACATCATGTTCACTGCATGCTAGTTACATGATGACATTGTGTGCTGGCTCACATCGTGGACACTGTGTTCTAGCTAGCCGTTTGCACAGTGTGTGCATTACAGACTGATTAACAAGGAATTCCAAGTTACGTTTTACTACTCAAGTTCAACACGGGTTGTTTATAGATAAACTGTACATCGAAGAACTGGTACCCACAAGCTTTATATACATGTCGTGACGTAGTGGCTCACTCTGATGTTGTCTGTGGTACCGTCTCCAGGTGTTGTCCGGTAGGAGCTTGCAGCCGCACCGTCAGTACACTCAGTCGGCCGACAGACGTAGTGCATTGACGCTAATGTAGTTGAGTTACACAGAATGTACTAGCATCGGAAGGACGCTGCTCTAGTAGAGGGTGCGCCAGGACGTTCTGTACAAGTATATGGGGACGCCAGTAAATGTAGTATTAAAGGGAGGACGCCAGACATACAGTAATACAGGGAGGACGCCAAGACACACTGTACTAGCATAGTGGGTGGGGTGGGGTGGAGTGCCAGGATATACTGGACTGGCATATGGGGTGGGGAGTGCCAGGATATACTGCACCAGCATAGGGGAGGAGTGCCAGGGTATACTGGACGTGTGCGTGCGTGCGTGCGTGCGTGCGTGCGTGCGTGCGTGTGTGTGTGTGTGCCATAGTAGCATTAAGGTGACCAAGAAATGTACGCCAAGAAATGCCGTACTGGTATAGGGAGGATGGGGAGCCGAGTAATGCCGCAATGGTGAAGGAAGTACTTGTGGATTACTTGTGTTGGTGGGAGACCAGGAACTGATGTGTTAGTATATGGGGGCTCAATATGAGAAGAGTGGAACCGTAAGGTGAATTTACGTGGTACTGTTTGGCTGGGCGGTACAGACGGGCTGGGCGGATTATGGAAAGTAGGCGTTACAGCGGCTCTAGGCGGTATAGAGAGTATACCTGGTAAAGAGGGACCTCAACGGATAAGTGAGGCTGGGCGGTACAGACGGGCTGGCGGATTAGGAAGGCTTGGCGTTATAGAGAGTTTATGTGGTGCAGAGGGTTTTGGCGGTCAAGCTGGGCTTGACAGACAAGGGTAGGTAGGCGTTACAGTGGCTTTGGGCATTATAGAGAGTATACTTGGTAAAGAGAGTCTCAACAGATGAGTGAGGCTAGACGTTACAGCGGGTCCAGGCAGTATAGAGAGTATACCTTGTAAAGAGGGCATCAACGGATTAGTGAGGCTGGGCGGAACAGCGGGTCTAGGCATTATAGAGAGTATACCTGGTAAAGAGGGCATCAACGGATTAGTGCGGCTGGGCGGAACAGCGGATCTGGGCATTATAGAGAGTATACCTGGTAAAGAGGGTCTCAACGGACTAGGGAGGCTAGGCGGAACAGCCGATCTGGGCGTCATAGAGAGTATACCTGGTAAAGAGGTCATCAACGGATTAGTGAGGCTAGGCGGTACAGCGGATCTGGGCGGTATAGAGAGTATACCTGGTAAAGAGGCATCAACGGACTAGGGAGGCTAGGCGGTATAACGGGCTAGGCAGTATAGAGAGTATACCTGGTAAAGAGGGCGTCAACGGATTAGTGAGTCTACAATAGATGTAGTACAAGGGGACAGAGCGGCTAGGTGGTAGGGCGGTAGAGACCTGGGCGGTTTAGATGGTCTGCTCAACACGGAGGGTGGGAGGGTAGAGACAGAAACTCTAAGGCTAATACGTAAAAGATGTATTGGGAAAGGAACTCATTATGACGCAGTAAACATTGAACTGAAGTGCAAGTATTCACTACCGAACGCGGGATAATCGAATGGCAATGAATTCCTGTTTCGACTCGGTGTTAAACCCCTGTACAACTACAGCACTGAGACGTGTGTGACATATGCAAATATATGTGGATGTTAAGCTATCATATGTGACGATATGCAAACACAGAAATGTGCTTTACTCCCGTTAACCGTTGTCTCGTATATATCTAGGATGAGTGAGTGATTTGGAGAAGAACGTCGCTTTCAACAATACTAAAGTTGCATCACGGCGTGTTTTAGTGTGTGAGGAAGCAAACTGACAAATTCTTTAGACTGTTACCTCATTGGTGAAGATGTCAAGATCCCAATCGGGCGAATCTTGGATTCTTCCCACAATCAGCGGATCCTGGTCGCTAAGGTCGCTCATTTGCAGCTGCTGACCACGTGTTCCCCCAAACCCCTCGATGTCTTGTCTTTCCTTGAACGGATATCCCTCTATTTTAGTACCGAGAGCCCTAAATGTATTCTAGCCGTCACTGCATCCTATTTTTGTATAAACCTGTAGTCTTGTAGACCCAATTACTGTTTTCCCCTATAGCACATCTTGTACTGCACCAGATGGTTAATAACTTCCTCAACGCAAGTGATTTGTCCGCGTAGCCTATCATTGTAGACAAAGCCAGATCGTAGGACATGTGTTCGTTTAAATCGATGTCATTATTAGAGCTGGTTCCACTTTATTTTGCCTGATGTAATGAGTGTTTCAATGTAGAAGTGGACTGTTTTCTGTGCACCCCTTGACGGCAGGCTTGACTTGATGGCGGGTCATTTGGTGTTAGGGTCGGGCACGACGGGTCGGCGAGATAACTAATGCATTGCTTCCCGACCTCTCGGCGGCACATAGGTATTATACCACATGACTTATAGCACGAGTTCACCGAAGACTCCGCCTAGCCGAGGAAGGCGTAGCTTTTATCTTCAGCTGATCGTAATTGGTTGTTTTTGTGAAGCACTTTCTGTTGCCCGTCCCGCCCCGTAGCCTGTCCGGGCTGACAAAAATAGTCGGCTGGGCTGAGGTTGTGGATACCTCATATATATCACAGTAATGGTACATTGTTCAGGCTGCACCTCTTCATCTGCATTTAGGGCACTGTGACCTCTCTTGTAACGACCAGTCACTATGTGTAACATACAGACCAGTTCCAACGATTCTTATATCAATAAATTTATAAAGCTACTTCCTCTGCTTTCTTTTTACAGTTCCTGAAAATATAGGGTTGAGTACTCATTTGTTTGTTCACGTGAAGTAAAGCAAATACATAATTCTCTCACATGGCGAGATGTCGGAATAACAGCTCCGTTACTGGCAGAGGAAGGCACGGCAGGCGGTGGAACGCGTGATTTGCCGCACAACATGGAACTAGGAACACAACAAGTGCATGGTTACACAAACCCACAGGGGAAATTGCACAACACAAGACCAACACGATTGGGATTAGAACATATGAAAAGAAAGCGATCTAATGGCAAGCAACACAACAATGTCCAGCACAACACATGTCCAGCAACACAACACCTGTCCAGCAACACAACATTTGTATGGCAAATTGATTGACAGGCATTACTTAGAAGTTGACGGATGACAAAGCAGATATATATATATATATTTGGATAGACCTTGCTTCACACACACACACACACACACACACACGGACACACACGGACGGACACACACACACACGGACACACACACACGGACACACACACACGGACGGACACACACACACACACACACGGACACACGGACACACACACACACACACACACACAGCAGGACATCGGGTTACCAGCAACAAATATCGTGCGTACAATAGAATGTTAGTCGTCATATCGTGTATATAATTTCACGACAGCCACGTCATAGATATAAGGTACAATGCCCAAATACTGACTAAAGGTCGAGAGACGTATATCACAATGTTCCTTTGGGCTGTTGCCAGGAGTGATCATGGTTATATGCCTATTTATTTACTCATAGTCAGCGACCGATCGATATACAGTCTATATGATATTATATATATCATTATAAATAGCCATCATTCCATCTTGGTGGTCGTCATGTTGAACATCGCCTTGATGTGGAACACAAATCTAAATCAATACCCACCTGCCGTGGCACAGTTTTGGAATAGGGATTCTCCGAAGTTGTCTAAACACGACCGTTACACTGGAGTGAGTGAGTGATGATTTACGTCACGTTATTCCAGATATGACAGACACCAAACACATATTTTAAGAGTGGCTAGTCTCCATGCTCTGGTGCCAATGACGTTGTAGTTAGCGTCATGGTATCACAGCCTTTGAGGTACAGAGGAGCATGTTCTTTCAAAGAGATTCATTCAGCTCTTCCTCAAAAGTTGTTTGATCAGGGTTGCAACACCAAAGACCTTAGTGCAGCTTTCAAATAATTTTATGGTGGACATGCGGTCATTAACAAATTTGACGCATCACTGACAAAAATGTCAGATGCAATTTACTATTTTGACGTTTAGTAATTTAGAACAATTGATTTGCCTTTGCATGTGTTTTGGACGGGTTCACCGATGCATAAACACGTGCTCGTGATATAGTTGGAATCGTATAATTGAGATTTATGATTATGGAAAGGGTTTTGTCGCTTTTATGTATTATTGTTGTTGTTGTTGTTGTTATTATTATTATTTACAGATTAAAATTAAAAATGCAGCAAAGAGGGTTTGGGTGATCTTGGCACAGTCACGCTGGTTAGGCTCATCATCAGCTCAGGGCCCTTGACCCCTCTACACGCAGCCCAGACAGCGAATGGGACTTCTCCCAGGAAGAGCTGCCTAGTCAAACCCACCCAGAACTTTTTGGAGAATGTGAAGACTCCTCAACACTGCAGCCTTCTGTGACAGTATGCGACGCCCCAGATCGTAAGCTTCCGGAGTCCGATTCCGGCGCAAGATAACCGACGGATTGCAAAGGAGCCAAAAAACTACAACAAAACTAACTTTCTGTCACAGTCTGGGTGTTCAATGCCTGGCACAGCCTCGGCTGGCAGATAAACCTGTAATTAATTAAGCATGCCCTACCTTGAATTCATTATGCGAGCTAATTAATAGGATATTCGAAACAGGACCTATTTACAGTTACTTAAATATAAATTGTTAGAGACCGACCATTTGATATTTTAGATAGGACATATTGCAACAATGTATTTTTGTGGCTCACAATTTCTTTTGATTTTCGATAAGTCAACGCAACGCTGCGGAGAAACTTCACTATGTATTGTCTACTTACACTTACAACTGCTTTTGGTCACGTTAACTCATCAGGAACGAATTGTTACTGGATAGAAGAACCTTTAATTCGGCTTTGATTTCAATAAGTTCTGACAGTCAGAAATCATCCAACGCGTTCATAAACAAATGGTAAATGACTGCAATAGAGAGCAATTGATGTCAGTAAGACCCGAAGAATGATTGAGTGCCATTTAACCACCACTGAGGTGGTTCGGCCAATCGTAAAGGTGCAAGGGCATGACCCACATTGCCGTGACACCATAGTACGTTGTTCACAGAGGCAGCATTTCAAGGCTGGTAACACGGTGCCACCCATGTAGCCTGCCCACGAAGAGGTGGTCGAAAGGTGACAACTCCGAGAGAAGACGGTTACATGGCTGAACTGAGAAAACGGGTTTACCACAATGATATTGTGTCCGGAAAGAAAACGGGTTTACCATAATGATATTGTGTCAGGAAAGAAAACGGGTTTACCACAATGATATTGTGTCCGGAAAGAAAACGGGTTTACCACAATGAAATTGTGTCCGGAAAGAAAACGGGTTTACCATAATGATATTGTGTCCGGAAAGAAAACGGGTTTACCACAATGATATTGTGTCCGGAAAGAAAACGGGTTTACCACAATGATATTGTGTCCGGAAAGAAAACGGGTTTACCACAATGATATTGTGTCCGGAAAGAAAACGGGTTTACCACAATGATATTGTGTCCGGAAAGAAAACGGGTTTACCATAATGATATTGTGTCAGGAAAGAAAACGGGTTTACCACAATGATAGTGTCCGGAAAGAAAACGGGTTTACCACAATGATATTGTGTCCGGAAAGAAAACGGGTGTACCACAATAATATAGTGTCAGGAAAGAAAACGGGTTTACCACAATAATATAGTGTCCGGAAAGATCTTCGTCTTAAGGGACATTCGGGGAAGACTATTTCTACACACTGACAGTTAGGAAGACACCATGCAGAAGTACTGTGTTTCCAAAGCCGATAAAACACTCCACTGTGTACTGTTGTCAGCAACAGACGCCTTAGGCAAGTCGGTATCGCAACTGAGGAGTCAGCCGTTGATGGAATATCCTTACCTAGGATGAGTCCAGATACTGTCCAGACCCAGCAACGACAGGGCAGATGTCTACAGCAGCAATACTGAACAATGCGCCAACTGTGCTATAACGCAACATAATCGTTTTGGTGGTTGGAGCTTGATGGTCTGAGTCGCATTCAGATTGGCCGTCAAAAGGTACTGATGTACGTTATAGAGGTGGTTTGTTGGTTGGTTGTTGTTTAACACCGCATTCAGCAATATTCCAGCTATGTATGACGGCGGTCTGTAAATAATCGAGTCTGGACCAGACAATCCAGTGATTAATATCGTGAGCATCGATCCACGCAATTAGGATCGATGACATGTATCAACCAAGTCAGCGTGCCTGACCACCCGATCCCGTTAGTCGCCTTTTACGACAAGCATGGGTTACGGAAGACCTATTCTACCCCGGATCTTCACGGGTCGTACGTTATAGGGATAAGATCATCACACATCATCCTACATCCTGACCGATCAGAGATCTATTGCTAATGAGTGAGTGAGTGAGTATGGTTTTACGCCGCTTCTAGCAATATTCCAGCAATATAACGTCGGGGGACATCAGAAATGGGCTTCACACATTGTACTCATGTCGGGAATCGAATCCATGTCTTCGGCGAGACGAGTGAACGCTTTAACCACAAGGCTACCCGACCGCCCCCTATTGATAATGTACGTAACTCGTTACGCCATATGACCACCTCCGTGGTCTAGTGGTGGAGCGTCCTCCCGGACCGCGTCATACCAAAAGACGTTAAAAGATGGTACTTGTTGTTACCCTGTCTGGCGCTCGGGATTAAGGAGCTAAAACAAGGACTGGTCGGTAAACTGTGTCTAAGTTGGGTATTCATGTTAAAACTGTTGCATGGTATCTCAGTGGGCTAGCATTATAAATCGGCATCAGTTCAGTAGTACAAGCAGCCACACACACACACACACACACACACACACACACACACACACACACACACACACACACACACACACACACACACACACACACACACACACACACACAAAACGTACATGCACGTCGCTATATAAGTGCAATAATCCCGGCCACGTCATACCAAAAGACGTTGACATATGGTACTTGTTGTTACCCTGCCTGGCAACGGCACACACACACACACACACACACACACGCGCGCGCACGCACGCACGCACGCACGCACACTCACGCACACGGACACGCACACGCACACATACACACGCACATGCACACACACACATACATGCATATCTTATAGTGCATAAGTGCAATAATCTTGGACGTGACGTTAAGCACCATTTCACCTCACCTCACACGTTACGCCTTATAGAAAGTGAAAATCTGTTAAAACTATTTGGAAAGAACTTATCGGATAACAGTGTCTCACCAATACGTATCAATTCAAGTAGATCACTATTTCGCGTATTCTTCCGGTGGGCATGCATAGTTTGTGAAATTCTGGCCCCTTTATAGTTTAAATTAGTAATTTCATCTATACCCATTATACAATGTTCTGCTTCATGATATTTTCATATCATTTTGGAACTATATGGAGGAATCACCTGCCTCATCTTGATCGAGGGGCACGGGTGGCCCAGTCGTCTAAGGCGCCGCGATTCGCTGTGCAGAGTTGCGTCCCTTGGGCACGCCAGAAAACTATGATGGTGGGTTCGAATCCCGGGTTCGCCCCGATTATGATTCTAGGTTTGTTAGCACCATACCCGTGCTCGTTGGTCTCACCGAAGTGGTAAACGTCTGAGACCTGCATCACATCGGGCTTTCCTCCCACATTAAGCTGACCCGCCGCGATATAACTGTAATACTGTTA